TTGTTATAGTCAGTCCTGCTTACTGGGAACAGAGTACTCCACTTGTTGGTCAGTCCTGCTGACCAGGAACAGAGTACTCCACTTGTTGGTCTGTCCTGCTTACTGGGAACAGAGTACTCCACTTGTTATAGTCAGTCCTGCTGATCGGGAACAGAGTACTCCACTTGTTGGTCAGTCCTGCTGATCGGGAACAGAGTACTCCACTTGTTATAGTCAGTCCTGCTTACTGGGAACAGAGTACTCCACTTGTTGGTCAGTCCTGCTGACCGGGAACAGAGTACTCCACTTGTTATAGTCAGTCCTGCTGACCGGGAACAGAGTACTCCACTTGTTGGTCAGTCCTGCTGACCGGGAACAGAGTACTCCACTTGTTATAGTCAGTCCTGCTTACTGGGAACAGAGTACTCCACTTGTTATAGTCAGTCCTGCTGAATGGGAACAGAGTACTCCACTTGTTGGTCAGTCCTGCTGACCGGGAACAGAGTACTCCACTTCTTATAGTCAGTCCTGCTGAATGGGAACAGAGTACTCCACTTGTTATAGTCAGTCCTGCTTACTGGGAACAGAGTACTCCACTTGTTGTAGTCAGTCCTGCTGACCGGGGACAGAGTACTCCACTTGTTGGTCAGTCCTGCTGAACGGGAACAGAGTACTCCACTTGTTGGTCTGTCCTGCTGACCGGGAACAGAGTACTCCACTTGTTGGTCAGTCTTACTGAATGGGAACAGAGTATTCCACTTGTTATAGTCAGTCCTGCTGACCGGGAACAGAGTATTCCACTTGTTATAGTCAGTCCTGCTGACCGGGAACAGAGTACTCCACTTGTTGGTCAGTCCTGCTGACTGGGAACAGAGTACTCCACTTGTTGGTCAGTCCTGCTGACCGGGAACAGAGTACTCCACTTGTTGGTCAGTCCTGCTGACCGGGAACAGAGTATTCCACTTATTATAATAACTTATAGTCAGTCCTGCTCACCAGGAACAGAGTATTCCACTTGTTATAGTCAGTTCTGCTGATCAGGAACAGAGTACTCCACTTGTTGGTCAGTCCTGCTTACTGGGAACAGAGTACTCCACTTGTTATAGTCAGTCCTGCTGACCGGGAACAGAGTACTCCACTTGTTGGTCAGTCCTGCTGACCGGGAACAGAGTACTCCACTTGTTGGTCAGTCTTGCTTACTGGGAACAGAGTACTCCACTTGTTATAGTCAGTCCTGCTTACTGGGAACAGAGTACTCCACTTGTTGGTCAGTCCTGCTTACTGGGAACAGAGTACTCCACTTGTTATAGTCAGTCCTGCTGACTGGGAACAGAATACTCCACTTGTTGGTCAGTCCTGCTGAATGGGAACAGAGTACTCCACTTGTTATAGTCAGTCCTGCTGAATGGGAACTGAGTACTCCACCTGTTGGTCAGTCCTGCTGGATGGGAACAGAGTACTCCACTTGTTATAGTCAGTCCTGCTGGATGGGAACAGAGTACTCCACTTGTTATAGTCAGTCCTACTGACCGGGAACAGAGTACTCCACTTGTTATAGTCAGTCCTGTTTACTGGGAACAGAGTACTCCACTTGTTATAGTCAGTCCTGCTGACCAGGAACAGAGTACTACACTTGTTATAGTCAATCCTACTGAATGGGAACAGAGTATTCCACTTGATATAGTCAGTCCTGCTGACCAGGAACAGAGTACTACACTTGTTATAGTCAGTCCTGATGACCAGGAACAGAGTACTACACTTGTTGGTCAGTCCTACTGACCGGGAACAGAGCACTCCACTTGTTATAGTCAGTCCTGCTGACTGGGAACAGAGTACTCCACTTGTTGGTCAGTCCTGCTGACCGGGAACAGAGCACTCCACTTGTTATAGTCAGTCCTACTGACCGGGAACAGAGTACTCCACTTGTTGGTCAGTCCTACTGACCGGGAACAGAGTACTCCACTTGTTATATTCAGTCTTGCTTACTGGGAACAGAGTATTCCACTTGTTGGTCAGTCTTGCTTACTGGGAACAGAGTACTCCACTTGTTATAGTCAGTCCTGCTGACTGGGAACAGAGTACTCCACTTGTTATAGTCAGTCCTGCTGAATGGGAACAGAGTACTCCACTTGTTGGTCAGTCCTACTGACTGAGAACAGAGTACTCCACTTGTTATTGTTAAAACCTACAAGTAAACCACCTGTAATCATTCCTCTGGTTCAACAAGCGTGTCTTAACTTCATTTTTATGGATGATAATGCCCGTCCATGGATGATAACGCCCGAGAAAGAGTTGTTAACGATGTTGTTTAGATCAACATCACACATATGGATTGGCCTGCAAGGTCACCAGATCTTGATCCCATTCAACATGTTTGGGACATTGTTGGAAGTCATATTTACGGTCTCCATGTTCGCTCAAGACTCTGGATCAAATTGAGTATGCGTTACAGGGAGAATGGCAGAACATTCCACAACAGCAACTTTAAAGGCTCATTTGGTGAATGCAAAGACGTCAGGAGCTTGCATTCGTGCTCATTGTAGTCATACGCGTTACTGAACACTGCTTCACTGTCCAAAACTGACTTTAACTTTATTGTTAACATTTTGCTCCATCAATGCAGCACATTTTGCACGACTGTTTCGCGGGTACCTGCTTTTGATGATTTGTAAGTCTATTATTGCTCAATACCATTTCATTTCATTTTGTTAATCGTGTACATATGTTTCACCTTTCTATTGCATCATTCCAAAATTTACAATTTCAATAAATGAAAATGTAATGAGACTAAAAATTTGTGTTGCTTAACTTTTTGTGAGGAGTATAATAACAAATGTTACATTTGATCACTTTCTGTATGGCATTGTGTATTGACACTGGAATATTGGTGTGTGCAGAAATATACAAGAAACAAACAACATAGTTGTCTTTCTTCCATGTATTGCTGGAGGCTTTGTTCTGATTTATTATAATGAATAGCTGGAGTTCTGCTGGTGATCTTCCTGTGTTAATGTGAGGAGTGTGAAAACTAACTTGAACTTTTTAACTTCTCTTCTGATTGTATTCTTTGCTAAAACTCCTCTCCACAGTCAGCTGCCAACAAATACTTTGTAACTCTTATCTGTTAAATAATTTTCTTTTACATACTCTTTGTGTCGAGATGGACACTGTTTCATTGGTTTTCAGTAATGTTTGACATGAGATGTGAGTTATCTCCCTTGCTCTGTTAGACAGCGCAGTAGTACTGGTGCATGCCTTTGTTGGCTCCCCACAAGTCTCACATTTTTATTAAACAAGTTAATGATTTGGTATCAAACGAGGGAAAGCAAGTTTGTTGCTAAATCTTTCATGAGTTTGATAAATATGGTATTTCACGGAAGCGAGTTTAGTATTTTGTTTATTACTCTCCAACATAATTGATAGAAACTGCCTACGTAGCGTGATGACTCTCATCTTTCCACAAGTCAAGCAAGATCTGATACCATTGTGACAGAGGTATTAGCATTGTGACATCATAACTGTAAACCATTATGACGTCATACATCTAGCGGTATTACACTAGTGTAGTATTGCTGTAAAAATATTACACTGCAGTATCTTCGACAGGCAAGTAATACATTTTTTACTTTATCAAATTAGAAAGTGTTCTCGGTATATTCCCCAAAGAACAATCTGTTTTCCTAAACTAGAACACTCTAGATGCCTTATATGTCGGTCAGTCTGAGGAATTAATGCTTGTGCAATCGTCCACATCATGGGCAGGATATAGGCTGTGCAGAATATAGTTGAGGGAAGTGGAATGACGTCATTTTGTGACTTATTACTCGCCCGTGGAAGATACTTTCAGTGTAATATTTTTACAGCATATTACACTAGTGTAATACCGCTAGAGGGTTCACAGTTATGAAGTCACATTGCTAATGCTGCTGTTGCAATGGTACTAGACCTTGTTTGATTCGTGGAAAGCTGAGAGTCATCACACTGAGAGCTGAGAGCCGCAGTTTCTATCAATTTATGTTGTACAGTAATAAACAGAATACTAAACTTGCTCCCGTGAAATACCATTTTCATTAAACTTGTGAAAGATTTAGTATCAGACTTGCTTTTGCTCGTTTGATACCAAATCATTAACTCATTTAATAAAAATGTTATTACACGGAAGGTTGTTTAGTATCCTCTATATACTTAGCTTCCAACAATTATGTTGAATACACTTGAGAAGATATCTCCAGGCAAACAATAATGAACTTCCCTGCTTCTCTGTAAACATTCACTCTTTCACACAGAAAGATATGTACTATCGATATCAAAGTGAAGGTGGAAGAGGAGGGACATATAGTACAATATATATATGTAGGAATTTTAGCAACAATGCCGTAGAATGCCAGCACATTCACCGATGGCAAGCTAGATGTAGTGCACTGTTGGAAAGGCGACCGACTCGTTATACAATTTGGTTACTTGGTAACACTTTTAGTACAATGTACATACGTTTTTTCAAACTGCAACGTCATTACCGTGTAGAACTGACAATATAGTCAGCTGACTGCCAGGCAACAGGTGGATTAAAACAGTAGCCTGCACATCGTGACACAAGAACCACACCTACACCTGCACCACATGAAATGGTTCTAATAAGGTCTAACAACGTCATTCGTTTAACGTTTGGGCACCGATGATGTCATTTCCAAGGAACATAAGCTATGGTGTGTTTATTGTGGACATAGAACTCTCGGGAAATGTTGACAATATGAATTGATATAACGCAAAAAATAAATTAGTTACTTCTGCTATATGTACGGGTTTGGATATAAAACTACTTGATAAACACTTTTTATGATGAAAAAGTGCAAGAAAAAAAGGTTAATTTTTGTGTACACTTGCCCTTTAATACTAAGTAAGCTGACATGACCATAGGTATTCCGAGGTATGATGTATGAAGGGTACTACAGAGCAAGTATTTAGCCTAGTTATAACTGTGCATCAGGACACATCAGACTATAGTTTTGCATATTTTTCAGGCCTACAAAGATGAAAACAAACGACTGGAAATGAGATGGAGAAAAGATGACATCTATTGCAAGCCAATGTATGGTGACAGACACAACACCACCAAAAAGTACTGTCGGAAATGCTAGAAAAATGCTTTTTAGCCTTAATATCTTTATAAAGGTGATACATGTACTATGTTGTCAATATATCAACTCGCCTATAGTGTACCTAATTTTTATTTCAATCGATTTAACATTCCCATGCATTTAAAGGGCAGTTTACAGGAGAGAATTTGGTACCAAAACAGCAACTTCAGATTTTTTTCAGAGTTCAACAACAGAAATCTGAAATAGTCTTTACATTTATGCTAATAATACAGGTGGTGTAAAAATATGAATTAACGTTTTTCCTAAACAAATAAATGTTGAATGTTTGTGTTACTTTACTTAATTATCGTTTCTTTATTGAAGAAATATTAATATAAATGTTAAGTCTTGATAAATAAGTTTCCCGTCATGCATGCACATCTTTATCACAGCGTCCACTATGGCCAACGATTTGCAGTCGATTGTTGCAAAGGTTTATAAGTTTTTTCTGCTTGAAAAAGACAGAGGTAAACCTTTCATTAGTTTAGAAAGGGTTTATTACAGAACTTGTAGAGCTGTTGGTATGTCTTACCAACAAGTTTACAATATTGTAAACAAATCAGACAAGACAGGGACCGTCTCAAAAGCAAAACCGGGACGTAAAACCATCCTTGACAACTTTGACAAGGGAGTGCTTAGACGGGCGGTCTACAAACTTTATGAGAAGAAGAATATATATATTCTAAAGAAGCTACACCAGTGACTTCGTTAAATCTTTGGCCAATGTTCACAACTAGATTAAACTGACCGAATTACATCCATATTTTTTCAATGAAATATACTGTTGACATGCAAAACATTTATTAAAACGTTGCACATTTCTACAATCAATCGATAAGATAACACATGTGATAGGATTCTTTCCAATGTACAGTAATTCGTATGTTTATTTCAAAACAAACACACATACACAAATGATCCCTTACATAACCAATACGTATACTATACGTACACATATTCAACATTTTGCAGAAAACATCTATTGAGATGACCCCTCGCCCGAGCGTGTGCTCAGGTGTCAATTTCACCTGTCGATACCGTGCATGCTGATGACGTAACACAGGCAGTTAATGTTTGTATCAAATAACGTCCCACTACCCCTTATTTTTCTAAGTTTTTGGTATTTTCATCAGTAAAAACACATTTTAGAGCATGTCTCAAAATTTATTCCCTCGGTCTACATTAGGTAGATGTTTCTTGAAGTGATATTTGTTATTTAAGTAACTGTAATACCTCTGAATTTTAAATATAAGTCAAAAAGCATTTTTCTAGCATTTCCGACAGTACTTTCCTTAAAGATACTGTCATTGGGAGTCACTGATCGGCTATGCTGATTGGACGTCCTTGCTAGCACTGTCACCTTTAGGGGTCGAGCTAATGGGGCTTCTCCAACAGACAAACTTGAATCCCACCAGGGATGCCATTGTAACAGCGGTATCACATCATGATTTGAAAACAGACGAATACTTGTAAGGGGTTAAGGGATTGATTGTCTTGGATGATGGATCAGGTGATAAAACCCTTGAAATAAAACATAAACATCTCAAATTACTGGTATACAGCAGCAAGTACATAGTAAATATATAATTACATTTAATATTTTCTGTACACCACAAGGGTTACTCAATTTACAAATTACAGTCATACAGATGAAAATCTGATATGTAACATAACATTAAAAACATAACCCATGCAATTACTAACCTCGTCTCAGGGACGCAGGTAATCCACAGTCTACCAGTAAACAACCAGTGGCAAATGAGTGCTTCAAAGACCTAATATAATAAAATAACACAATTAAATACAATCTATATTACACACGCACGCACGCACGCACGCACTCGCACACACACACACACACGCTCTTTCTCATGTCATCCATAATATGTACCTAATCTACAATGTATACACTATAGTCTACATTAAAGGTCACATGCAACGTAAAACACAACTTTGCAGATTCTGATACCTTTCAGTATGGACTTACCGAAACAAATCATCAAAAATGCAAATTCAACTTATAAAGTTGAAAAATAACGCGATGAAAAAAAACGCGCAAAATCGTAGTTCAAACGATTCACTAACTTTCATTTGTCTATTTCACCACACGTTCTTCTTTCCGAGTCACTTATTTCACCACACGTTCTTCTTACCGAGTCACTTTCTCAGTTCGATACTTAAAAGCAATGTCATTATTTAGCGTCGACCGAATTTCTAACTGTGATATAGATATGTCATTGACACAGACAAAACTCAATGTCTGTTTTATTGGCACCTATGTGTCTGCCTGCCCGTCTGCTAATGACAATATTCAATACACAATTTCAATCACTGACCACATGCAATTTGAACTAAACACCTATCAGGCTATACACCGTAAACAAAACGTATTGATTTATGGCCTGAGTTCGGTCTCTGTCACATTATGTAATTACACAGACAGACAGGTGTGATACTTGTACACTTGACATGTTATGGTGTCTGTTGATTGCAAAATGTTATACGCAAAAATGAGCATGTATTTACAAAACCCAACATCTCTATATATACACACACAATGAGCCATGAGGGCATCTGCAAATGAACCAATGCACAAATGAAATTATATAAACAGTTAAATCGGTAATCTACTGTCATAACATATAAAAAGCTCGAGCCTGTGAAATATCAACAAAAATTAGAAAAATAGCTCACATCAAATCCTTCACCGAGTATTCACCGGACAACCCGCTTCCAAGCTGCGTGAACCTATTTCACTGCGCATGTGCTATGAGCGCAGCCCAGCTGTTGAAACCACTTCAATTCCCCCAAGCTCTGGGGGAAAATTAGTGAATCGTTTGAACTCCGATTTCGAGCGGGTTTTTTCGTAGCGTTATTTTTCAACTTTATAAGTTGAATTTGCATTTTTGATGATTTGTTTTGGTAAGTCCATACCGAAAAGGTAACAGAATCTGCAAAGTTGTGTTTTACGTTGCATGTGACCTTTAACTAAATTATATACTTAGGTTTAAAGTACACAATATTTACATTCTGCTACACAAACACACATTAGTATTGTGATGTAAGATTCCAGGTGAAGGTTGTATCTGAACTGTGAGTATTGGTAAAGATATTTTGATGTGGTGATATTGTTGTGCCAGCTTTGATGTCCAATATCTGTAAGTCATTGCTGGAAGATAGCCATGAATAACGTAACATAGTCAACACCCTGGTTAAACCATATGTGTGAACCATACTGACTGGTAGAATGTGACAACAGCCGGTAAATTTAAGAGTTGACTGTCCCTGTATCAGGCAAAAATTTCCATTGAAAAAGCATAAAATAATTATTTCACTGATCTCAACTTACCAGGTTTATACATGCTGTCGTAAAAATGCAATCTCTTGTAACTACATACATGACGTACATGTTAAATTGACAGGTCAGAAGCAGAAAATAGTATTTTCATATTTGGGGGGAAAATGGAAAGGAACCTAAAGCATAAATTAGATGAAAATTTATCATACAAGTTTGAATTTATCAAGAATTATCACAATATACATCTCTTAAAATCAGGAAAAGTTGCATTGCATTGTGCTTTTTATGCATTCATAGAGTGTGTTGAGAAGATGATCATTCGAGGCACCTGTCCATAGCAGTTTGTCCCCAATTTTTTTAACTTATTTGAAGTTATTTGTTGAAAAAATTTGAAAGGAATTTTGAATAGGAACAGTGTCTTGATGGTGTCGATTGGTGTTCTTTAGTTTGGTTACACTGTTGTTCCTCATCCAAGCTTTATGATGTCCAAGCTGATGTGGCTGGACTAGGTCCCAAGTAACTCTGCTGGGTGGACGAGGCAGTAGATCAGGTGGTCACACCAGCGGACATGGTTCATTGCTCCAGTCACATGGGATGTTTATTACTCAGATTACCAATAATCGGGGTGATTTATGTAAATAGATTTGACTGGAATCGTCAGGGCACTGTTAACATCCTCTCTCTCAGAACATGATGATGCGATATTTCACTACATTGAACTCAATTTTACCTTGGCACACACTGGCCTAACATTCAACTTAGCCAGCAATATTATCAGGATATGTGAATTAGCCCATGATCTGAATGAACAATGTTTGCCTTGCTGATACATTGTAATGTGACGTGACCATGTTTACAGCAATGGCTGACTATCAGTACCTGCCTGTGGAGAGAAAAGAAGATGGCAGCTGCAGGAACCTACTTCCAGAACTTCATCTGACAGGTTTAACAGGGAGAGAGGAGTTTCTGTCAAGAGATGTTCCACTGTTTATGCCACCCATGATATTTTCTCGCATTGATACACCAGTGGAATACCTTTACCGCCCAGATAAAGTGATGAATAGAAATGCCCAAAAAGGCCTGGACCACCTGCCACCTCATCTTATTGGCACCGGTAGGTATTTACATTTTTATGAGGAAGGAAGTCTTTCAAAGGAAAGTTCATAATTACTATGAATGCAAAAGCGCTTTAAATCATTGCCAGAAATTGTCCATTTCGGCTGTTATCAGAAAGTAGTTTATAGGTTGGTATTGTTCCCTCATCTGACACTTGTAAAGGTAAAGAGAGCCTTTCAAAAATGCTGTCTCAAAACATCTGGACCAACATATTTTCCCTAAACCTGATCACAAGATACATATAGTAGATGGAGGGTAACAAATGATGACAGGAGTTGGGATGGAGTTTAGACAGTGCATCACTTAGGGAGATAACTCTGTTAGAGGAGAACTTGTGGGCAGCTGGAAGAAAATACCTTGCTATACCAGCAAGCTCAAATTTTTAAACTGATACTATTTCACATTATACACTCTTTCTTGTTCTTCCGAGTGAAAACTACCAGAAACAGTTTTCAGCCTCTGGTAACACCTCACTTGAAGATCGTGTATCCTGCCTTGGTTGTGACTCCCAATTGAAGTGATTCTCTTTCTTGTTGCCCATGTGTGCAGACGACCTGTAGAGATTCTTTTTTTCATTTTATCTGTTTATTTTAACATGTCATCACTCATACTAACTGCTTATCTATTTTTGGGGATACGGATTTTGTCCTCCCAGGAATTGATTCAAGTCCCAGAAGATCGTTGAAGATTCAGGAATCCTTCCCAGCAGCTCCGTACAAACAGATAACTGTCAGCCAATGGCAGGTGTTGTGGTGGACAGTAATTTGGAATGTCTGCACTGGCACCTTCTTGAACGAGCCAAGCTTCAATCTACACCTTTATGTAGTTGTATGTCCACAGGGTTGGGTAGTACACTTCGAGTCCGAGGTAGCATCAGGGCTGTGGTCTCCAGAAGAAAAGTGACTTCATATCCATCACCTTGAGTTCAAGGAGGTTATTTGAGCATTTACTCATTGGGCCTTTAAATTGTCAAATTAGTCTTAGATTATCAGGACAGACTCAACAGTAGCCTTTTACATCAACCTACAAGGCACAACAAGTCAGCTACCATTTCAATTATTTCGCCTCACAGATAGCCTAAACCTAAGGATAAAGGTGTGGCACATTCCGGAAGCCACAAACGTATTAGCAGATGCCCTGTCCAGGCTGTGCAGCATGTCACCGACGGAATGGTAACTTTATCCGGGAGCATTCCAACTGGTGATAAAACAAAGAATCGCTAGGGTTCAACACTGGGTACATACTTCGCAGCCATAAGCTCTGTTATCACCATGGCAAAGGGCGTTAAAGTTACCATAGTACCAGAACTGATAGCATTATAGCACCCATTCAGACAAGAAGATCAACAGAGGAAGTTAAAGCATGGGACTTGCATATTGTCCTTAAACTTCTGACCATTGAAGCTTATGATCCTCCTGAAGAAATCAGATTGGAACAGAAACACTGTTTCTACTGGTCCTAGCCACAGCTGCCAGAATGTCAGAGATCCTTGCTGTAAATTTCGGTTGTACCCGATTTGCTAATGGATCCAGTGCGTTATGTTGGCGCCAGACAACACCACGGTGGTCACGTACGTCAACAAGGAAGGAGGGACCAAATATTATCATCTCCTCCAGATAACCCAGCAACTGTTTACGATCGCGGACTCTATGAAGTACTTTGTCAGAGCTTGACACATCCTAGATGAGTGAACATCCTCGCCAACTCTCTGTCCAGACAGGATCGGGTGATCACGACAGATTGGACAAATCGACCTGGGAAGTTTCCACAATAGATCTTTTCGTGACTTGCTGCAGTGATCAGCTACCAGGCGATGGTCATTGAAATGTGATACAACAACCCTATCTAGGATGCCAGTGATGTACCCATGTCTATTCAGAATTTGTCTGATTGTCACAAGGTCAAGGTCACGTGAGAGGCACATCTACATAATCAATGAACCAATGCCAAATGGTACTTTGTAACAAGCCCATTCTATAGTGCATGTGCAGTATTTCTACCTTGACAAGCACAGACTCGGCCATCAGTCATGAACAAAAGTAAGTGACTTTCATCCAACCAGTGGACCCTTCGCCATGACCTCCAATTCCAGTGATGTCGAGTGTGACACCAAACTAGTCGTGCTGCTTTGTGCACTGGGAATAACAACCAAAGTCTGAAAAGTCGTCTTGCTCTATGTTTTGGTGGATTTTGGACGATTTGAGACTCTTCTGGGAGACAAATGATGATGGGGAAGCCACTCTCTGCTTTTAACATGCCACTTGATATGAATGTGCGTGTGTCTGTGTTGTTTTGCTTATTCATTTGCCTATTTAGTCTCACATATACAGTGTCATCAAGAAGTCATCAAGCCCAACCATCCCAACAGCCAAATTCACAAAATATGTGCTGTAGCTACAGTCCTAGTCCCTTTGAATTCAGTTTCTATACAATAGAAGTTGCCAATGGAGTGTCGACAATACATTAACAAACTTCTACTTATCAAATACTATTGACCAGAATATACAAGTTGCGACCAAGGCTATAATTACTTCATAGTTTGTTCCCCTTTTTATGCACTGTTGTGCGGGCTGTGTATTGCATTCAGGTGCCCATGTTAAGGCTGGAGAGTTAAGGATTCTATTTTCTTTTTGATACAATTTATACTATGTAAAGTATGTCATTTTGTGAAAGAATTACAAAAGGGAAACACCAGTTGTGAATGTAAGTCTGTGTAGACTTTAACTTAGTCTATAGTCTATCACAAAACTCCAGAAATATTTTTCACTCCATATACCATTTTTCAGAAAATAAATTGCAATACATACTGTTTGAAAAGCATATTGTGGTGTACTGGTAATACCGTGAAGTCCTATCTGTTGGTATTATTGGTATAAGAATTGAGGTACCTCCTGCCCAGTCTGTCATACAGACCCTGAAACAAACATATCCAAGAAGGCCCATCAAAGTCTAGATTATGTGGCAAGGCTATATTTCCACAATTTCAAATATTCCTGTCACACACACTTTCAGCATCAGGTCAGTAATGGGTGATAAAATCTCTGCAACTGTTTTTTTCTGTAAAATATGTTCATTTCAGAGACTAGTTGTTACCCTTACGCCAGCCTTGCTCATCTGTGAAGTATGTTTCACCATTAATGGTTTATTTTCATTGGGCTTGGTTCTCAGCTGGTAGCAAAGATCTGTTGAAAGTCTTAAGATTTTGTAGTGTGAGAACAGCAATTACAGAGAAATAATGACTATAATGTGAAAAGGTATTACATTAAAATTATACACAATGATAACTATTGTTTGATTTTAGATAAGTATCATATTGCTTTGTTTTGTGTGTATAGGGAGACAAAAGAGGACAATCTACACAATTTTCAAGACATTTGATGAGGACACACCTATAGGCCCTCCAGAAGGTGCAGAAGCTTTCCTGAAGGCAAAATTGAAAAATACCAATCTACTACAGCTTGTGCAAACAGTGAGTGTGACAAGTATCTGTATTGTGTATCACTTCTATGAAGGTCCCCACTCTGGGTCCCTCCCAAGTGAGCTTATGCCTGTTTGTCGATGACATTGTACGTTATTTTCAGACATTACAGGGTGATTATTGAAAATGAAACCTTGCATGCTTGTTCCCATTAGTCTGTTTGTCATGAAGTTTTAGTAGTTTTAATTTAATAGTTTTAAGTCTTATTTTCAAAATGTCCATTCTGTCAAAATCAACACATACTAAGTAGTAGATACAATGATAGTCCTGGACCAAGTCCAACAAAAGCCTCTGCAAAGCCTTATTTCCCAAATAAGGCTTTGGTCGGACCCTTAGCTCTTGCTACCATTACATCTACTGCTTTCCCGACCTATAAAAATTTCAGACGCCAGCGGGATACGAACGCCCAATGTTACACCTCACAACCGCGCCTCTTAGCCGACTGAGCTACCGCGGACTTGGCTGAAGTATGTTGGTTTAACGGGTCTATCCTGGGATTACATCATCGCTACGTCTATAATAGCTTCACGTGCCGCTATGACACTACTGTGACACTATGTCAATGAAACAGTTTAATGTGAATCGCCTATGATCTCTTTGGTGTTCGTAATAAAGGCTTGCCGGGCTTTTTGTATCCCCTGTTCTATGTACTTTTTTTTCTCGTCCTCGCTGATAGCAGCAGACTTACGAGACTTGGATCAAATCTCTTGTTTCATTTTGTCATATTTTGTGAGTTCAGAGAGGATTGAACGAAACTCCTCCTCTGAGATCTTACTGTCAGTGAGTGCCGTGGAAATACGCTCACTCACTGTGTTCAGCTTTGCTTCAGCTAGAACCCTGATCTCGTCGTGTTTCAACGCCTTACGATGCAGTCTGCGTGATGCAAACTTAAGCACCAACCCTAACACCCCTGTCACCCCAGCTGTTATTTCAATACCTAGCACTATAGGTGCGGCCACGATGGTAGCTAACAACCCAACACCTGCCGCACCTAGTCCCATGCTGGTTACCATAAGGGCAGTATCAGTCCCGTCCACGGCATTGAAAGCTCTATGGTACTTCTTATATAGTGCTTTCCGCGTGTCGCGGTCTTGTTCTAGTTGGCGTTTTACATCACATAACTGTCTCAAGCGGAACCCGTCTACGGTCTACGGTCTTCGCTACTTCCTCTACGACTGGGTACAGACCCATACTGAACATATAATATATTCTAAAAAATATCTTTAAAATGTGTGTTATTTACTGTTTGCTCAGTGTATTTGAAGCTTACAAGTCTTAGACTCTTGTACAGGGAAATAGGGGAGAGGGAAATAGGTAACTGTGCGTCCACATGAACATTATCGAGGGGGTATCTTAAGGAGTGTATTGAGGGGACTATAGAGCCCGTTGAGGGGTCCGGTTGTATAACGATACGGCCATGTTGGCCCGCGCTTAGGAGGTCATAGCGTATTGTCACCCCGGGTAAAAGTTGCTGTTCTACAGGATCACCCCCCATGAAGAAGACTTCTATGGCGAGTGTGGAGCCTGGTTTCACTTTCATAAGGTCCAATTGGGAATTGGGGACATCAAACTTTAACTCGTCCTCCAAGCCTGAAGTAACTAACACGCTACCCGTATGATCCCCCATTAGTTGAGCCCTTATAGCATTCTGGGCTTTGTTTGGTGCGTTCACAGCTATAGAAAGTGAACCATGAAGAGGCCGACTTCATCTTAAGCCAAATGGCTTTACTGCCAAGGCACCACTTATCTTTACTGGTGCGGCGGCGGCTATCTCGTTTAACTTTAGGCGGCGACGACATCGCCTGTGAAACTATTGAACTACCCCAGCGTGCGAATTTCTTCTCGATACCTAATACGACGGCGCTGGTTCACCCATTCATTTCCCCGCTCCACGGCCCTCTATCGCCAATTACCGGCGCAACCAGAGGAATTTCGCGTGCCATGCGCAGACAGCGCTGCCATTTATCAGAACTAAGGTCCTTTTAAAGACTCAAAATTCCCCAGCACCGTTATTTCGCTTAATTCTGGAATTTCCTGCTGATTACTTCTACCGCAGGATTCTGCAGTACCGAAATTCTGATTTACCCTTTGTCGCTATAAACAAGATCGCCACTGGTCGCCCTACCGTTGGCATTTAGTTCCAGCAATTACTTCATTTTCGGCATTGACTCATTCGTGAAGGCATTTACCAATCACCCTCGCTTCCTTTCCTTGGCCGAAACATTCCCGCTCAAGCAAATCAAATTTGTTGAGTACTTTGGCTGGCGATGAAATTGTTCGTTCATCGATAGAGCTCTCTACAAAATCTCTCGCTTCGTGGTGTTTGGTACTCAGGGTTTAGATCCGTTATTTTAATTCACCTACCGTTTAAATTCTTCTCCGGAACGGCTCCAGGTTTAGAAAGATCTAAATAGCAGAGGCACTAACAATAGCGAAAGCGGCGTCGGGTTATGGTTTGAAACTCAGGTGGTTTTGTTGTTGCTGGCGTTGCGATGTTCGTCGCCGGTGGTCGCCAGTGGGCAGGTTGGTACGGCGCCGATCGGCGATCACGACGGCTGAACGACCTCACCGGCTAAGTTATTCTGGAAGTGTTGTGCTGGTATATGAAGCTCATTTGCCATAAACCGGGTGCGAAACAGACGACACTTTCGTTTTAACACCGGTCAGCGTATGATGGATCTCTTTAGCTCAACACCGATATCTATTCGGTGGTACCAGCACGGTATTCCGCATTAAAAGTAATTCCGCTTAAATAACCAGCAGATGCGTTCCAGCGCAATCAACTCGCCGCGTGCCGTTAAAACTACAGAGTGCCAGTGCAAACTGGCCATGCAAAAAATCATTACAGTCGTCTATTCCTCTTTATGTCGCTGCCCGTTCGTATGTCTCAAAGTCATTGCTCCGGATATTAACTACCGGTACGTACTTCGCCGTCCAGCTCAAGCCATCTTACAGCAAATTCCAGAGATGAAGCCAAGCCGGTTAAATGCTCGAGAGGAAATTACGACCGGTTAGTCTTCGCTGGTATTTGACTCGTAACCTTCGAAAAAATCAGTATTATGCTTTCGGCTTCAATATGTTTAGTCACGTGTGGTGCGAACATAAAGCCTGGTTTCCTAGGCCGTATGAGTTCAGGCGGGTGAAGAAAGGACCAAAAGCGTCAACCCGATGTTAACGTCCCCACGTCCCACCACCCGACCCGGTGAAGCGGGTATAGTGAAGCCACCCCGAACCTAGGGTTCAACCAACACCCCCTGTGGGGTCACCCCCATACGTTCAGGCGGCCAATCAGCAGCACATCGACCGTAAAACAGCTATGGTGGTTGGTGGGGTAGCTTTGGGCCTTATTTGGTTAAAAATTCCTTAGCCGCTACGTACAGCAAACCCACCACGGCGACGATGGCTGCCCACAGGTTTTGACTGAGCCACGTGGCTGTTTTAGCCAGAGCGCTCAGCAGCCACGAGACGATGCTACCCAGGAGGCTGGGCAGGGCTTCGGCGGCCTTACCAGCCAGTTTAGCCAGGGCTTCCCCGAGTTTTTTTATCCAGTCTTTGACACCCCTACCACTTGGTGTGCTGGCAGGCGTGGGCCCCCCTGTCAGTGACACCACCAGGGTTGATATGATGAAGCCCAATGCAGTCAGAATGCTGGCGATGGTGATCCCTTGCTCCCGGAACAGGATTCGGATCCTGTCAGCTAGCGTGGTGTCCTGGTAGAGGACTCGATCAATGGTTTCCCGCACACGGCTGATCTGGGATCGAAGCTGTTCTCGGAAGGAGGATGCCGTTTCCAGCCGGGTCTTCCTTTCCTCTTCCAAATTACGTATTCGTTCCTCGATTGTGGCTTTCAGAGATTCGTCCTCCGTTTCACCTAGTTTGATCTTTTCATAGGCGATGTGGTCGTCTATCGCGTCCAGTTTGGCCGTGTTGTTCACGAGATGTCCGCGAATGGTTTGCATGGCATTGTCAAGCCCCCGCAGTTCCCGAGCGGTAAATTCGAACCCAGGTAAGGGGTTGTCATGGTAGGTGGCCAACAGCTTTTCAATGTTATCAGTCATGTCTTGATCCGATGTGGCGCCCCTGATGTCTTGCAGATCTTGAAGGGGAATCTTAGGCCGTGCCACCGTAATCTACGAAGCCTAATTCATCGCGGATCAAGTTACCCCCATGGCGACTGAACAGTGTTGATAAGGCAAGCGGTTCTCTAGTGCGCTTATTCATGAGATCGATATCCGGGTTAGCCCTCAATCGCAGCGTGCCATTGCTATCAACAAAAAACTTAGTATAGTCTCGCCCCCACGGCTCTACGTAATTTTTATCCTCTTTTAAACCATCGTAAAACCCGTTGACGGCCTGCTTCACGAGTTCGTTGCCTTGCGAGAATGAGGTTTCATCATCCTCGAATGCCTGGGTATTATTCCACATATCATCCATAGGTATGTCTTCATGACCGCCTTCAGCCATTATTTAGTATTAAAACTTATATATTTCATTTATATAACAATGTATGGTAGAAAACTAGATCCTTTCAGAAGATCAAGAGAGCCACTAGGTGTCAAAGCCGTACGCCAGTCGGTGACCATCACCAACAACCCCAGCAAGATAGACCAGAATCAAACGCTGCTGGTTAGATTTCCAAACCTTGGCGCGAATGACCTCATTGTACCAGGCACTGTTCGACTGGCGTTCAACCTCACGTTGACCTCCACCAACAACAAGCGCGAGAGCTAGTCGCGGAGCGTGAGGGTCGAGCCATCATCAAGAAAACCACCATCAAGATCACCGGTAGCGAGGTGCTGAGCATCGGCGACAGCGGCGTGTTTCACTGCTCTACGAGGACCTCTGGAAGCGAGGAGAAGCAGCGTCAATGGCGTGTATCAGGGCATCAACAAATCGACCGGTTGCGCGTTGAATCACGGCTTCACGCATAAGACCAGTTAGACAAGCTATCGGATGGTGAAAAGGCCATTGCTCAAGCGTACGGGAACCGG